GGGTTTTTGGAGGGGTGGGATTTATTGCAAGACTTCACGCAATCCTAGATATCTTAGAGAAGGTTAGTATCATGGTAAGCCTTGACTGGACATTCATGTTGATGTGGCGTGGAGTTGCTTAACGAGACGCGCCGGAGTGATGGGCGTTGTGGTGGCATCATAGAACGACGTGGGAGTTGGGAGGAGAGGGAGAGTGGCTTACAGCAGGGTGGGAACGCCTAAGTAAATGGCACGGTGAAGGTGGTAAAAAAACGCCACGAAGGGCTGAACCAAACGTGCCTCCAATCCAGGCTCCTCTCGCAGACTTTGTAATGGCCAGGAAGTTGTCCTGCGATGGCGGAGGGGATGGTGTGGCTACAGTGAAGGTGGTGTTGTTGGGTGGGAGAGGGTTTGGGTGCTGAGAGGTTTTATCAGGCAGGCAACTAAGTGAGGCTCTTGGGTTTTTGGCTGGGCGGGATCCAGGCCCTGCGGTAAATAACAACAAGTGACAGGATCGTGTCAATTCAACAACGTTGCGATGCGATGAGATGAAAGACTTTTGGGTATTGTGAAAATTATAGGTGTGAAGGTCGAAGTGATTTTTCCCATCAAAGTTGGGTCTGTCTGGTGGCAAGTGGAGGGAGAAGATATTGTTGCTGAGCAATCGGGGATGCAATAGTGCGTTTGTCGGGGAGCTGGTGGAGAGTAGAGAGACACGGTCTATTTCTTAATAGCAGATAACAGAAGCAAATCTTCGGCTGGGAAGAATAGCAGATCGAGGATCACAGTCTTTGGGAGTATTTGCAGTGGTTGGCAGGCAGAGGGGAGAAGGTTGGAGGTGAGATGGTGGTGAGAGGTTGAGAGTTGAAACTTTGAGGAGTGTAGGGGCATGGAGTAATTTTCTGGGTGGAGACTAGGTGGACATTTGGCCTGAGTCGAGGTTTTGGCTCTAAACCGCATACAACTGGGCAGTCATGAGCAGTCTGTAGATGTACCTTATGTGCTAAGGGCACACAACCAT